ATGATGAGCTCTGAATCCTGATTGAAAGACTTCAAACATATCATTTTCCTGCAGGTGGCAGCGGAGCTGCTCAGCTATAAGTTTTTCCAGGATTTTAGATATAAAAGTGAGGTTCGAGATCGGTCTGTAGTTTGTAAGTATTTCTGGGTCCAGGTTTGTTTTCTTCAGAAGGGGTTTGATTACCGCGGTTTTAAAAGCTTGTGGGACATAGCCACATTGTATGGATGCGTTTATTATATTTACGATAGGCTCAATTATCAAAGGAAGTATGTCTTTGAAGAGCCATGTCGGGACTGCGTCTAACATGCAAGTTGAGGCTTTTGAGGATGTGACCACAGAGATCACCTCTGCTTGGCTCACAGCCATGAATTTATTAAGGCCCACTGAAGAGTCTAAGTGGGAAGTCACGTATGCCGCTTCAACCTGTCCACCACTAACAGCAGGAGCAACCTCCTCCAGCTTGTCACGGATGGATGTAATTTTATTATTAAAGAAGTGGAGAAAGTCGACACTGCTCAGTGAGCTTGGAATTTTAGGCTCGATTGCGCTATGGCAGTTTGTGAGTTTAGCGACGGTACCAAACAAAAATCTACTGTTGTTTTTATTCGCTTCTATTAAAGTTGAATAGTATTGAGTTCGAGCCCCGCGAAGGGCCTTCTTGTAGTTTCGGAGACCTGCTTTCCACTCCCTGTGGACAGGCTCCGAGTGGGAGTGGCGATATAGCCTCTCCAATTTTCTGACGTCCTGTTTTAAAGTGTGGAGTTGAACACTGTACCAGGGCGACGATGATCTAATCCTAATGGTTTTCTGTTTTAAAGGAGCTGCTGCATTTAATGCAGATTTTAAAGACTCCATAGTGTTGCCCACCGTTTGGTCGATGACTGAGGGACTGCAGCTGCTGTGAACAGGTTCACCTGCAGCAGTATTCAACATAGGCTGTATTAGTTCTTTGAACCTTGTGATAGATTTATCATTTAAGGTTCTTTTCATTATGGTTTTATCTTGCGGGACAGGAAAGTCCTCCAAAGCGAGATCAAACGTGATCAAGAAATGGTCAGACAGCAACGAGCTTTGACGCTGGATGTCAACATTGGAGACATCACAGCCGTAGGTCAGGACAAGGTCCAAGGTGTGGTTATGAATGTGAGTAGGTTCCTCGACATTCTGAGTAAAACCAACACCATCTAGTACGGCGCTGAAAGCTTTGTTTAAGCTGTCAGTGCTGTCGTCCACATGTATATTGAAGTCTCCAGCTATAACTATGTTTTCCCATTCCAAAACTAGGTTTGAAATGAAGTCAGAGAATTCTGTTAGGAACTCGCTGTAAGGACCAGGAGGTCGGTATAAAACTATAAATAGTACTGCTTTTTGTTTTCTCCACCCAGGACAGGTGATTGAAAGTGTTAAGTTTTCAAACGAGTGAAAAGCGTTGTTGGTTTTGGGACTAAGAACCAAGTTGGTGTGTGATATAATCGCAACACCACCGCCGCGACCTGTAGCTCTGGCTTTCTGGTAGTTAACATGCGTCGGAGGAGTGCACTCATTCAATCTAACGTACTCGTCTTGTTGGAGCCAAGTCTCCGAGAGCGCTAACAGATCCAAGCCCTTGTCTATAATAAGTTCGTTTATGAGAAGCGATTTAGACGAGATTGATCTGACGTTCATTAAACCACATTTAACAACCCTACTGTTAGAACTATTTCTGTCTGTCTGAACTTTTATTAAGTTACTGTGTCTGACACCTAGGTCAGATTTCCTCGCATATAGTGCTTTAGACTTCAAGCGGGGAACACACACAGTTTCAATCTGACTAGGTTCTGAGGCTAGTAACTGAGCACACACAGGCATACACATACATGCACACACAGTTTCAATCTGACTAGCTTCTGAGGCTAGTAACTGAGCACACACAGGCACACACACACATGCACACACAGTTTCAATCTGACTAGCCTCTGAGGCTAGTAACTGAACAGATGGGGGCTCAGAGGTTGTGGCAGAGCAGCTCTGCACCCGGGCCTCAGTTCTGCACCGTCATTTGAGCCGAGCAGAACAGTTTAGAGCCAGGGCCAAATTCTTAGCCAAAAGGGATGTACCCGCCAACGTTGGGTGGATATCATCCGAGCGGATGAGACCGGGCTTTCCCCAAAAGGCACTCCAATTGTCAACATGAACAACACCACTTCGAGGGCACCAGCCAGACAGCCAGCGGTTGAAAGCCGAGTGTCTGCTGAATGCTTCTGCACTGCTAGTGCTAGGTAGGGGCCCAGAGAAGATGACAGTGTCGGCCATTGTGCTAGCCAGCTTGCACACGGCGGCGACTTGCAGCTTCAACACCTCGGACTGTTTCCGCCGAACGTCATTACCACCCGCGTGAATAACAATTCGACGGAAACGCTGCTTGTGGGTCATCATGAGCCTCAGATTCCCTTCAATATCACCAAGCCTGGCCCCAGGGAAGCACCGAACAGTGGCTCCTGGGATCTTAACACCTCTAACAATAGAGGAGCCAATTACCAGCGCATCAGCGACTCCATCGGCTCTCTCAGCAGCTCTCTCAGCGGCTCTCTCAGTGGGGCCTTCTTCCCCGCCCGGCCGCGCGGGGGCGCAGCCGGACAGAGCGTCCCAGCGATTGTAAATGCTAACAGGAGGAGGCCCAATGGGGAAACTACCAACAACACGTGGCCCTCTCCGAACAGTCACAAAGCCATCACTATCCTGGTCTTGTCCCAGCTGCGGAGGACGGGCTGGGAGGCTAGGCTCGCTAGTTCTCCTCTGCCTTTCCCTAAAGCTGCGCTCCGCTGTCCCTGAGGATACGGCCTGGCTGTAGCTAATGCTAGCGCTAGCTCGAGACTCCAGTGCTCGGAGACGCAGCTCTAACTCACTGACCCTGGATTCCAGAGCTACGACTACACTACACTTCACACATCTATCACTACCCTCAGAGAAGGATCCAGGGTTTAGACTCGCCATATGGCAACTCGAGCAGTAAAGGATTGAGGGAGAGACAGCAGCCGCCATAGTAGCGAGTTAGCGGCTAGGCTAGGCTAAGCTAGGCTAGGCGAAGCTAGTACGGATCCGGGCCCGCACAACAGACTCCGAGACCAGACAAACAACCGCTACCTAAACCTCAGCTGCAGTACAGCTGACTCGGAGTGCTTACACAGTTAGCTTGGTGTACAATACGTGGATTTGTAATGTGTTTGTTAGAGCAAACAGAGAGCAGAGTGATAGCAGTCAAGAAACACGCTCACCGGATACAGGAAGACAGGAGTGCAGTGCCATGTCGCTATTCTAAACATCTCTGAGATAAATATGATTATAAATCCAGACTTTTAAACAAAGCTCTTAGGATTGTCAATGACTCTTCTGGCCACCCTGGGAAAGCCATGTTCCAGCTTCTTCCCTCTGGCAGAAGATATCGCTCTCTGAGATGCAGGACATCTCGTTACGCTAACAGTTTTTATCCACAAGCTGTTATCAGTGTGAACAGAGCACTTTAATGATTTGCACTTGTTTTGAACTGTTTTAGTCGATCGATTTCACAGTGACATTTGTTTACTGTTTTATTTGTTTTATTTTTGTCTGTTAATGTTGTTTTATGTCTGTATTTGTCTGTGCACACTGGTGACTTTTGCTAATCTATTCCCGTGTGGTTTTTTTTACTGCAAATGGCAAATAAACTGAATCTGAATCTGAATCTGATCCTCAATCACCATATCCACCAACGCCTCAGTCAAGTCAACCGTCTCAGCTGAAAGAAAATGCACATTAGGGTTAGAAATTGATCTAATGAACAAATACATTCAAATAAAATATATTTAGTGTAATTGTAGGACAATCATCAATTATTATCATGATATAAAATGGCCTACCTGAGACAGGTTCACCTGGGTTGGAATCCACATTGCTATGCAAGGCACGATAGTGCTTTAGCATAGCTGAGGTGTTATTATAATCCAGTTGTTTGGAGCATAACAGACACTTCACCTGCAATTGAAAAAACTATTATTCAAACGTATTTATAACAGAGAAAAGTGAGCAAGAGAAATTATGTGTTGTCATATTTGTGTAATCTATTACAGAATTATTGATATGCCTTACCTTATTAGGTGAGATCTGCTCAAAGTGCTCCCAAACTGGAGAAAATCTTCTCTTTCTTGCCGGTTCCATCGCAAAAAAAGAAGCTCAAATAGGATGCCAAATGAGAAGCGCAATAACCCAAAAACACACAAAGTGATGAAGGGGAATCCATTGCGTTCACTCGTCCCTTTTATTTCGAATCGCGCTCCAAACCAATGAATCATTTCCTGAATCAGTCACGTGGTACGGCTGTTCGCGAGGCTTCGAACGTCATCACACACGTGACCAATACACGCCTCCACCCACACTTCAAAAGAAACGCCCCCAGATTACTCGGTCCACGCTTCGAAGACTCGGCCCGCTCAGCACATCACTATCTTCTTCTCACAAGCTGTTATCTGTTTGAACAGAGCACTTTAATGTTCTTGCTCTTTTTATTGATACTGTTTCAGCCGATCGATTCTCACAGTGACATGTGTCTGTTTTTTGTTTTTTTTCTGTACTTTTAATGTTTTTTGTCTGTATTTGTCTGTGCACACTGGAGACTTTTGCTAATATATTCCAATGTGGTGGTTTTACTGCAAATGGCTAATAAAATGAATCTGAATCTGAAAGTATCTGGTGTGACCATTTGCCTCATGCAGTGCAACACATCTTCTTCGCATAGAGTTTATCAGATTGTCAATTGTGGCCTGTGGAATGTTGGTCCACTCCTTTTCAATGGCTGTGCCAAGTTGCTGGATATCAGTGGGAACTGGTGCACGCTGTCGTATACGCCGGTCAAGCACATCCCAAACATGCACAATGGGTGACATGTCCGGTGAGTATGCTGGCCATGCAAGAACTGGGACATTTTCAGCTTCCAAGAATTGTGTACAGATCCTTGCAACATGGGGCCGCGCATTATCTGCTGAAACATGAGGTGATGTTCATGGATGTATGGCACAACAATCAGGATCTCATCACGGTATCTCTGTGCATTCATGATGCCATCAATAAAATGCACCTGTGTTCTTTGACCATAACAAATACTGCCCAATACCAAAACCCCACCACCAGCATGGGCCATACCAAAACCCCATCACCACCATGGGCCACTCCATCCGCAACATTGACATCAGGAAAGCGCTCACCCACACGACGCCACACACGCTGTCTGCCATCTGCCCTAAACAATGCAAACCGAGATTTATCCGTGAAGAACACCTCTGCAACGTGCCAGATGCCATCGAATGTGCAGTTGAGCTTCCCTGAGACGGTTTCTGACAGTTTGTGCAGAAATTGTTTGGTTATGCAAATAAATTGTTTCAGCAGCTGTCTCAGTGACAGGTCTCAGATCTTGGAGGTGAACGTGCTGGATGTGGAGGTCCTGGGCTGGTGTGGTTAAACGTGGTCTGCGGTTGTGAGGCCGGTTGGATGTACTGCCATATTCTCTGAAACGCCATTGGAGACGGCCTATGGTGGAGAAATGAACATTCAATGCACGAGCAACAGATCTGGTTGACATTCCTGCTGTCAGCCAATGCACGCTCCCTCAATGCTTGTGGCATCTGTGGCATTTTGCTGTGAGACAGAACCGCACCTTTCAGAGTGGCCTTTTATTGTGGACAGTCCAAGGCACACCTGTGCACTAATCATGATGTCAGATCAGCATCTTGATGTGGCACACCTGTGAGGTGGGATGGATTATCTCAGCAAAGCAGAAGTGCTCACTATCACACATTTAGAGAGATTTGTGAACAATGTTTGAGACAAATCGTAATATTGTGTATCTGGAATTAATTTTAGATCTTTAAGTCCATCTCATGGAAAATGGGAGCAAAAACGAAGGTTGTTTTAAGTTTTTGTTGAGTATAAGATAGACAGCATGTTGCGGTTGATTTTTTTCACAACATTTTACTTTTAAGCATCTGTTGGGATTCAAAATGTAATATTTATGAACAAGTGAGCTACCCTATTATATAATATTCAAACACATGTTAGTTAGTTAATTATGATACTGGTGTGTAATCCTGTCATTGTTTGACCGCATGAAATCTTTTAACAGCAGACTAAATCCTTTTAGAATTAATTATTTTATTTTGCACATACAGGACAAAACCTCCTTTGTCAAAACCACTCATAGAAACTCACTCGACGGACTCCCTACTTTTAGGTAACTACACACATGTGCATAACTTAAATAATTATTTTTTAAACATTTCTCTTTTACTTATTCCAGATGCCAACAGCCTTGACTCTGACCGCTACTGCCTCATTGGAGCAGACCTTAGGGACATCTCCAGCCTGGATGAAAAGCTAAAGAAGTTCCATTTGAACACAGAGTATGTTGTAATATAATTTATTGTCTGTTTTTATTAGCATTTCTTATTGCTTGACTTGTGTTGTGTGTAATGGAACCATGTTTGAAAATGTTGTTCCCTGGTTTCTGGCAGATTGCCGACAGTCTTTGTGTCAGAGTGTGTCCTCGTGTACATGTCCCCTTCGCACTCTTCTAACCTGGTCCGCTGGGCCTCGGACACTTTTCACACTGCTATGTTCATCAACTATGAGCAGGTACGACCTTGGAGCCACTGTGTAGGTTTCAAAATAGTTTTCAGCCCTTTCAGCTCATGGATTGTGTTTACTCAGGTGAACATGGGCGATCGGTTTGGTCAGGTGATGATAGAAAACCTACAGCATCGTAACTGCAATCTGGCAGGAGTGGAGGTCTGTCAGAGTCTGGACTCTCAGGTAACATTCACTGCCCTTGATGTTTGTTAAATTCAAGAAAATATATTTTAACATGCATGTCCATTTGTCAGATTTACTGTTAAACCTAATTCTAACCCTTCAGGTGCCACAAAATGTGTCGTGAAACAGACCAAAGGTTGTGTTTAAGTGGCAGATAACATGGGGACATTATGTACTGTTCATGATGGGGGTTGGGTCTTCGTCTGACTCGACACCTCGGGTCTTGACCATGGGAAGACCCTACCAGGGGCTTAAAGTCTCGGGCAACAATATAAGAAAACAAAATAGGGAAATGTTATTGGGAAAGTGTCCTGGATTCATGAGCTTATGTGGTAATTCTGCAACCCTGATGCCTAAAGAGTTAACCAAACAGACAAAATATGTGTTTATTTTTAGTTAAAAAAATATGGTTGTATTATCAACGGTTGTGTTTGCATTCACACTTAGGACTTCATATTTGTCCATTTACATTTTGATGTTTGGCCAATTTTGTTCTATTGTTCTACTTGATTACATCAGTTGTTCTTGTTTGTGTGATGTTGGCAGAGGGAGAGGTTTCTGAGGAGTGCCTGGGAGCACGCAGATGCTTTGGACATGATGACCGTATATAGTATGCTCCCCCAGGAAGACGTGGAGAGGTAATCATAGAACCAACTCTGATCCTACGTCGGCCGCTTCTTAGCAGCTGCCTTTATGTTTACTTGTCAACTGCCATCTTTTTCACCAATCCTGTTCCTTCTTTACACTTAGCATTAGCTGCATTCTGTAAATGTGTTACTTTTCCTCTATTATCCTTTTCTTCTTGAACAATGGAAACATCAGAAATGACATTAGATTACGGGTTGAAATTAGTCACTTTCAGAATGAGATAAATTGCTATTATGCTTGAAATAATACTAATGCTGCTTATCTCACTGGCAGAAAGTAATATTGGGGTGATACAATACATAGATATTGGTCAATATTGGTGCAGATAATTGGTCGACCCGTACAGTAGATGCTTTCTACAGGTTGGTACATTCCAGGCAAAGCCATATCTTCTGTTGTACAATATTGTACTTGTTTATTGTATTCGGACCCGTTCCTTAACTGATGCCCTAGTGAGGTCATTTGTGAATGTCTATGCTTGATCAAATCTTTGTTTGAATAGAAATGAGTATAGATGTATTTCTTTCAGAATCGAGCGACTGGAATTCCTCGATGAGAAGGAGTTACTACAGCAGCTGCTCCAGCACTACAGCATTTGTTGGGCCACGAAGGACAAGCTGAACCTGGGTAACTAACCAACAGCTATGTTCCCTCACATTCCCAGCAGTGTCAGCAATGTGGAAGGAGTAGTATTGTAGTATTGTAACACAATTCCGTGAGAGTTGTCGAGTACAATAGCGAGGCCATTGCACATGTCATTTCTTGTATTTACTTAACATTAGTTACAGCCGTTAAAACATTCCTTTGTGGAGCAGCTCAGCCGTGTCAATGTCTCCCTCACCACAGCGAGTCATGTTCTGTTTCCTCAGGGCTGGTGCACTTGGCATTTTGAAGAAGGAAAGTTTACAACGTTTCGATTCGTGCCGGCCAAAAACAACAGAGAAAAGAAAAGCAAACTGCGAAAAGAGGAAGTAGCTGCTCCCTATTTGGCGCTCATCATGGACAAGCTCCATCAGCAGAGGTGTCCTGGAGGTTGGAGATAACAGTTTTTAAGACTATGATGAACGCTGTGCAGGACGTGGAAAAGCTATGTGCAGCTGGTCCATCACAATCCACCGACTAATATTTGCTCTGTAAATATACAACCTAAACAAGTTATTTAAAACATCATATTTGACGAGCCATTTAACTGATGATGTAAACAGCCAACAATGGTAATTAGAATGTAAATTATTCTGTTTTCAATATCTATCTGTGACATTTCTGTTAATTCCCATCATATAATTTGTGTAAACATAGAATGGACTCTTGTATTACTGTGTAGTACGTGTGTAACAACAGGACATTAAAAAAACACTGCACAAGCCATGCGCAATTAAAAAATGTCTTAATGTGCACATTAAGACTGTACTGTCATTTCAAAGCAAGTTTCTTATTTTTCATGTTAAATTTAAAATGTTTTAGCATTGTTCAATACAGCGTAACAACACTACTTTTCAAAGAATTGTCATTATTATGGCATTTCATTATCAGACTCAAGTCCAACTTAAGCCAGAAAATGGGAAGTTCTAGAGTGATAACAAGATTAAGTGGGATTACCATACAGTCATAGAAAGATGTAAAAGATATCACACATGTACACAAAAACACCAGAAATTCTCTCCATAAAATAAGTGTTTTCACAGAATGGTATTTTTACGGTCATCTAATCAGACAGCATTATTCCTAATCTAATCTGCACTGGTTCCTCCACACGTTAACAATCATTTTATGAGCTGGACTGAACTGTTACCTCTTGTCTTAGAATATAAACAATCACAGGGAGGTGGGGCCAACGAGGATGAGGATTTGCGTTTGTGTCTTCCTGTGAAACCCCTTTATAGGCGGTCATCCAGACCATCAGCTTCATCCAGCTTCATCCAGCTTCAGCCAGCATCACCCAGCATGCCCAAGCTAGAGAGCGAGGTTTTCACAATCAGTGGCTCGGACATGGGGCAGGTGGTCAGCGACGCAGACGGCTCCCGAAGTGTCAACAGAAGCACGGGGGTCTACGAGCGATACGTACAGCCATGTTTGGCCGAGTTTTTTGGGTCCACGCTGTTCATCTTTGTGGGCTGCGCATGTGTAGTGGCCAACAAGGGGCCCGGGGCCATCCAGCCGGCCGTTGCACATGGGTTGGCCCTGGCGGTGGTCATCGTGCTCTTTGGACAGATCAGGTAAAGCTGTCTGCGTGTGCTAATATCACGTTATTGCAGGATATAATGGCAACTTTTTTTCTTCTTGATTGCGCTCGATGTGTTGCAGACTGTGTTGTAGAGCACAAGAATACATAAATGGTCAGATTACTCTTTTTCATACAATCTAGGTGAAACTGGTCAAATTAAAATATTGTTTGAAAGTTAATTTACAAGAAACTAATATTTGACAGGCTCAAAGTGAGATATATCAAGCCTTTATTTGCTGAAATGTTGAAAAACCCCAAATATAACCTTTCAGGAGATTTTAATATTTAGAAAAACTGACTGCGCTCATCAAAGTTGTCACAAATAAAGGTTTGGCATATGTCATGTTGCATGTAATATGTCAATGTCATGTATTATAATTAGTTGCTTAAAAAAAGTGTATTTTTTCTCTCTTTCTAATCAACAATAACAAGAGATGTACAACTAATCTACTAGTCCTATTCAGCATTTTTACACACCGTACTTTACTTTTATGATTCAATTCAGTATTCCAAGTGTTCAGAATACAGTACTGTGAAAACATGTTTACAAAATACTTAATAAAGCGTATTCTAAAACTATATAAGAGATCAAACTCTTCTATCCAACACTGATTGCAGAACATATGTGCTTTGTGTATCCAACTGCATATTCAACATTGAGATCAAAGTAGAAGGATTTATTAATATTCTGAAGAACAACATCGTAACCATCTGTGAGATAAGTCAGATAAAGAGTACTTGAATGGACAAAGCCCGCATTGTTCAATACTGTCAAGGTGACTTTATATATGAATTGTAGCATATGAATTCAAGACAGAATATAGTTAATAAACAATTTCTCACATCGTCTATACAGCTTTAATTATCTATTTCCATAAATGTTTCTTACATATTTTTTTCTTTAATTTGTTTCTGTTATTGATTTAGTTGGCAGTCTCTTAAGAGAGAGGGGATTGAGGGCTACATACTTCTTAATTGCCCTTGATTTAAAGAAGAAAAATTATGCATTATTTTTGGGTAGACATTTACTTTGAAATTATAAAATATGTGGTGAAACAAGTAATCTAATGCTATTGGCTCTATCCCTATGCTCACATTGTACTCCCTGTGCTACAACCAGACTGAGGCTCCAAACACAGTTGTATGATTGTAAAGAGTGAAATTTCACCTGAGAAATGTATGGGCAGTACATTTATTTAAAAGACAAAGAACTGCTCTCAGCATGATGACCTAGTGGTGCAATGACATCATACTATAATAGGACTGAGACGGGAGGTTTTAGACAGATGGGGCGGAGCTGATATTATTTTGGAAAACAACTCCAGGTCTGTTTTGATGAGCAACAAAGCTGTGTTATGGTTAAAACTTAAAAAAATGAAATTTGCAGAAATGTGTCTCCTTTAGAATATACGTCAAAAAAACAGCATCAAAAGACATGGTGGTGGAGCCTCCATCACTGAAATTCTTTGACACGTTGTTTTCAAGTGGCGGACACTTCAACCCAGCAGTCACCCTGTGCGTTCATCTTTGCGGGGGGATGTCTTTGCCTCTAGTTTTGCCGTACATTCTTTCTCAGCTGTTGGGAGGAATCACCGGGGCTGGTTTGGTTAAAGTATGTACACAACGCTTAAACCAAACGCTTCAATGATTTCAAATTTACACTTTTCCACAGGGTACCCTTGTGTTTTCTGTTCAGGTCATGTTCTCTGCTGTGGAGTACCAGGCCGGTGTTGGGGGAGCCTTCACCCCAGATCCCATGGCAAATGACTTGGGTAAAATAACGCTGGCAGAACTTGTAATGACAATGTTCCTCACTACCACGGTTACTATGGGAGCAGTAAACAAGAAGACAAGCTCCCAGCTGGCTCCCTTCTGCATTGGGCTCACTGTCACTGCCAACATATTAGCAGGGTAAAACCTTTTTGAATGGAGTGTTCATGAATTAAGAAAGATTTTACATTATTCTTGTCCACTAAAAATATTATTGAGACTATTGCCTATTGTCATTTCGTCTTTTAAAATGTGAAATATCCTGAGTAGAAAATATATAATAACTATTACTGGACTGGTGCTGCTTTAATGCAACCTCAGAAACTCTGAGATATCTAGGACGGCAGCTTTTAGAGTGCCAGAAGTTTCCAATATTAACAATTCCTGTTTTAACATGGTTAAAATCTTAGTCATTTTTGCATAATATGTCTCGTTTATACAGACAGGCAATTACTGCATGTCTTTGTGTGATATATTTCAGTTAAAATTGACTTTGCGAGGCTTGTCTTATCTGAGGCTATTTAGCTGGCAGTGTAAAGTGACTGGTGTAATAACGTGTGCGTGCGCGTGCGTTCTTTCTTGTGTTAGAGGAGGGCTGTCTGGGGCTTGTATGAACCCGGCCCGGGCGTTTGGACCGGCTGTCCTAGCCAACCGTTGGGACTATCACTGGATCTACTGGGTGGGCCCCATGTGCGGAGCACTGAGCACAGTCATCTACGTCAGGTACTGAGGAGGACAGTGGTCAAAGTACATTTGTTAAGGGTTTTTTTCAAAGGAACATAGAAAAAAAAAATTAAGTGTGCAAAAGTTCTTATCTAAAGATGTAACAAAGGCCAAAAGTCCCAAATTGTGTTGAGGGCAACGAGAGATTTTTTAAATAATTTTAAAAGTTGAGCACCTAACACATTAAATGACTCTTTTGGGATGCATGCGAACAAGGTTTACTTTTTCATGTAACAATAACTTAAAAAATGAACCAAAGCCAATCAATCAATCAACCTTTATTTGTAGAGCGCATTTGCTACACAAGTTAACACAAAGTGCTTCATAGCCCACATCACATAGACATCATAAACGTTAAAATCATGCTGGGCATTTTAAAACAAACTTTAAAATTGCATGGAATATCAAAAATATAAAAATCGAACGAGCAATAAAAATATTAAAATCACACAAGGGATTAAAATAGAATAATAAATAACCACAGTGCATTAAAAAGAGTATAATCCTTCAGTTGTATGCAGGAAAAATAAAACAACCTGGATTTGAACACTGCCAGATTAGACTGCTGCTGCACATTTTCAGGAAGATTCTTGCAGATTCTTTGCTCCATGAATCTGAAAAGCTGCATCCCCATTTAGTACTGACCCTGGACATCCACATGAGGCTGCTCCTTGTGCTCGGTTCTTATGGCACTTTACTTTGGTGCGAGGCCATGGATAAACTTGTACTCAAGCAGAGCATCTTTAAAGTCCATTCTGAGTCTGAGCCATAGGAAGCAAGTGCAGAGACCTGAGAACTGGACCCATGTGATGGTACTTCCTGGTTCTGGTCAGGACTTGAGCTGCTGCATTGTGAATATACTGCAGTTGTTTTACTGCATGTTTGGAGAGACCATTACAGTTGTCTAACCCAGCAATCTAAACCTATTTAAAAACCTTTTTAGTGCCACAGACCAGTTTAACGTCGAACAACAATTGCATGGACTTTTATGTTTTTGATTTTGGAAATGTTTTTCAGATGGCAAAAAGCTGCTCATGTTACTGATTTGATGTGGCAGATACATTTGTGTCCATTATTACCGCTATATTTCTTACCGTAGTTAATTTATTTAGGTTTTAGGGAGGTGACAGATGACGCTCTCTCTTAATACTTTGCTGCATTTTATTCAATAATTAGTATTCAAAAATACGTACCTGTATACATCAATAAAAACAAAAAACAAAAATTAAACTCAAACTTCCTTGAATGAAAAATAGTCTATACATTCCCAGAACAAAATATCACCATCAATTACTTAATAAAGTCACAGTAAGTAAATAAGAGAGTGTAACAAAATACTTTAAAATATATTCAGCTCAATAAGGGAGCCTTTTAGCATGCAAGACTTTGGCAACTTCTGTCATTTTCCAGATTTAATGGCGACTTAAAAATGGACTTTGAATGGTTCTATCTTCACCTTGGCCTGAGATTTATGTGGTGTCAAAGAGCAAAATGGTCAAATCTTCTGAGGTGAAGATACTGGTATCAGTGTGTGAGCTGTTGGATCTTTTTGAAGCAATAAAGAAAGAACATTTGTCTAATAAGTGCAGTGATTAGTGCTGAGAAGATCTCAGGTCAAAGCAACAATTCTGACCCATGTTTGACCCATTTCAAACCAAATGTCAAAATGTTGTTGTTTGTTGTAGTTATTATTATTCTGTGAAATTTTCAGGTTGTTTCTTGGAGATCAAAAGACTCGTCTTATTCTGAGGAAGTGAAGAGGAATTGTTTTTTGTTTTATAAAGATATATTCTAATGTGTATTTTTGAGAGCTGCAATGTGTGATATATTTTGTGCCTAATAAAGCCTCTTTAAATGCTTTGCCATCATAGTAAATCTAAAATCAAGGCCATATTACTTCCAGAAAGATTGTTTCTGACTTGTAGTGGGAGGATTGACCAAATAGTAAAATGCATATTTTCTTAATTATGGCAGGACCAAAAAGTATATTTAATGGTCTTATTTTTAACTAACACACTAATATCTAGACATCAGTTGGCGAGAGGTCTATTGCAAAAAACAATGTTTGTAGCACCTAACAAGCAGGAGTACTAAAAGTGTATTGCTATAACATAATTTACAAAATGATTAGATCATTTCAGTCTTGGTGGGCAAGATATAATTATAAATTATGGTTTTGCACTAATCTGGTTTAAAAGTCTAAAATTATGCTCACCAAATGTATAACCAGGACCTGACATGAGAGGTTTTGGGGAAAATTTACTAAATACACTAAAACTCTAATTTCCTATAAGAAGGAATAGTTTTATGCAAAACATTTGTAACTACAACTGTGAGTTTGTAGTTACAGTACGTGGCACTTTAAGACTTTTTATTATCGATCCATTTACAAATGAACCAGAAATGCAGAGTGTCTACTGCTAATGTGTGGACTGCACACATAAAGTGTTATTTACACAAAATGTCTTGATTAGTCTCAGGTTACGAGATAATTTTCTACTTGAAGTGAAATATGTAATAACCCTAGTGAGTGTGATATATATATATTTTTTTTTTGACAAAGGGCGTTCATGGTTTACCGATTAACCTGAAACTTTAGTCTGGTTAACCACTTCTAATACATTTGCAAATACATGATTAGGCCACCAGAGCAAAGAAATGCAAGTGCCTACGAAGTGGTGCTGCATAATTTATGATATTAATGATTTCACTTAATTACCCAGACTGCTTCTAAGCTGCTGTTACTTGGCGGCAGCAGACGTGGTCCTGGGAGACGGGGCTGAGGTCATCCATGGAAGTGGGACTGTACTGTATTAAGATATTATATTAGATCCATTACTCGATCCATGACTCGTAGACCAAGTACAGTTTAGGCAAACTTCAACAGCGCCATCTAGCGGTAAGTATAATTTTCAGCATAATATTCATTTCGGAAGACTTAGAATTGTGTGTAATGACCATAGACTGTATATATTGTCATAATATGTTGAACATGTGGAAGCCAACCCAGAGATGGCCGAAGAAGGAACGGGAGGTTATGATGCAGCTTATTTGCAAACCTGCGAGGGGGAGGCAGTCGGATGGAAAAGTTTCTTCTGCTCAGTTGCGGCGAGTTTAATAATAATTCAGAATAATATTCATTTGTTTAGAATAGTTTAAAGTGTCAAGACAATGTACAATAAACATTAACCTAAATACTAGAAACTTGCAATGGCTGAAGCCATTGCGATTGACTGCGGAACAGATCTAATGTGGAAATCTGCTAAAAAAAATCCTTGAAATCCTTTAAAAAGCCTTGAAACTGTTAAAATACTTGATAGATATTTGAAACTCCTGAAGTCCTTGAAATTGTTGAAACCTTTAAACTCCTGAAATCCTTGAAACTGTTGAAACATTGAAACTCCTGAAATCCTTGAAACTTTTTTAAACCTGGAAACTGTTGAAAGTGTGGAAACTCCTGAAATCCTTGAACCTCCTGATATCCTTGAAACTGGTTAAATTCTTAAACAGCTGAAATCCTTGAAACTACTGAATGTATTGAAAGTGTCCTTGAAACTGAAAAATCCCCTCACCGCTGAAACAATTTGGTTCCTGTAACTAAGGAAACCTGGTCTGTGGTCATTATCTGGTGGTGGTCTGAGTCTTCGTTTGGGTCTTGGTCTGGTGGTATAATGCAACCTATTAGGTTGCATTATACATGAAAAAACCCTATTAAGTTGCATTATACTGGTTTACATGAAAAAAACCCTATTAAGTTGCATTATACTGGTTAACATGAAAAAAACCCTATTAAGTTGCATTATACTGGTTTACATGGAAAAATCCCTATTAAGTTGCATAATACTGGTTTACATGGAAAAATCCCCATTAAGTTGCATTATACTGGTTTACATGAAAAAAACCCTATTAAGTTGCATTATACTGGTTTACATGGAAAAACCCCTATTAAGTTGCATTATATACTGGTTTACATGTAAAAACCCCTATTAAGTTGCATTATACTGGTTTACATGGAAAAATCCCTATTAAGTTGCATTATACTGGTTTACATGAAAAAACCCTATTAAGTTGCATTATACTGGTTTACATGGAAAAATCCCTATTAAGTTGCATTATACTGGTTTACATGGAAAAATCCCTATTAAGTTGCATTATACTGGTTTACATGGAAAAATCCCTATTAAGTTGCATTATACTGGTTTACATGGAAAAATCCACATTAAGTTGCATTATACTGGTTTACATGAAAAAAAACCCTATTAAGTTGCATTATACTGGTTTACATGAAAAAAACCCTATTAAGTTGCATTATACTGGTTTACATGGAAAAATCCCTATTAAGTTGCATTGTACTGGTTTACATGGAAAAACCCCTATTAAGTTCCATTATATGGTTTACATGTAAAAAAAAAACCCTATTAAGTTGCATTATACTGGTTTACATGGAAAAATCCCCATTAAGTTGCATTATACTGGTTTACATGAAAAAAAAACCCTATTAAGTTGCATTATACTGGTTTACATGAAAAAAACCCTATTAAGTTGCATTATACTGGTTTACATGGAAAAATCCCTATTAAGTTGCATAATACTGGTTTACATGGAAAAATCTCCATTAAGTTGCATTATACTGGTTTACATGAAAAAAACCCTATTAAGTTGCATTATACTGGTTTACATGGAAAAATCCCTATTAAGTTGCATTGTACTGGTTTACATGGAAAAATCCCTATTAAGTTGCATTATACTGGTTTACATGAAAAAAACCCTATTAAGTTGCATTATACTGGTTTACATGTAAAAACCCCTATTAAGTTGCATTATACTGGTTTACATGGAAAAATCCCTATTAAGTTGCATAATACTGGTTTACATGGAAAAATCCCCATTAAGTTGCATTATACTGGTTTACATGGAAAAATCCCCATTAAGTTGCATTATACTGGTTTACATGGAAAAATCCCTATTAAGTTGCATTGTACTGGTTTACATGGAAAAAACCCTATTAAGTTGCATTATACTGGTTTACATGGAAAAAACCCTATTAAGTTGCATTATACTGGTTTACATGTAAAAATCCCTATTAAGTTGCATTGTACTGGTTTACATGGAAAAATCCCTATTAAGTTGCATTATACTGGTTTACATGAAAAAAACCCTATTAAGTTGCATTATACTGGTTTACATGTAAAAACCCCTATTAAGTTGCATTATACTGGTTTACATGTAAAAACCCCTATTAGGTTACATTATAGTGGTTTACATGTAAAAATCCTTATTAAGTTGCATTATACTGGTTTACATGTAAAAACCCCTATTAAGTTCCATTATACTGGTTTACATGTAAAAACCCCTATTAAGTTCCATTATACTGGTTTACATGTAAAAACCCTATTAAGTTGCATTATACTGGTTTACATGAAAAAAACCCTATTAAGTTGCATTATACTGGTTTACATGGAAAAATCCCTATTAAGTTGCATAATACTGGTTTACATGGAAAAATCCCCATTAAGTTGCATTATACTGGTTTACATGGAAAAATCCCTATTAAGTTGCATTATACTGGTTTACATGGAAAAATCCCTATTAAGTTGCATAATACTGGTTTACATGGAAAAATCCCCATTAAGTTGCATTATACTGGTTTACATGGAAAAATCCCCATTAAGTTGCATTATACTGGTTTACATGGAAAAATCCCTATTAAAACTGGTTTACATCCCTATTAAGTTGCATTATACTGGTTTACATGGAAAAAACCCTATTAAGTTGCATTATACTGGTTTACATGGAAAAAAACCCCTATTAAGTTGCATTATACTGGTTTACATGGAAAAACCCCTATTAAGTTGCATTATACTGGTTTACATGGAAAAATCCCCATTAAATTATACTGGCATGGAAAAATCCCTATTAATTGCATACTGGTTTACATGGAAAAATCCCCATTAAGTTGCATTATACTGGTTTACATGGAAAAAACCCTATTAAGTTGCATTATACTGGTTTACATGAAAAACCCCTATTAAGTTGCATTATACTGGTTTACATGGAAAAATCCCTATTAAGTTGCATTATACTGGTTTACATGGAAAAATCCCTATTAAGTTGCATTATACTGGTTTACATGTAAAAATCCCTATTAAGTTGCATTATACTGGTTTACATGGAAAAATCCCTATTAAGTTGCTTTATACTGGTTTACATGGAAAAACCCCTATTAAGTTCCATTATACTGGTTTACATGTAAAAAAAAAACCCTATTAAGTTGCATTATACTGGTTTACATGGAAAAATCCCCATTAAGTTGCATTATACTGGTTTACATGAAAAAAAAACCCTATTAAGTTGCATTATACTGGTTTACATGAAAAAAACCCTATTAAGTTGCATTATACTGGTTTACATGGAAAAATCCCTATTAAGTTGCATAATACTGGTTTACATGGAAAAATCTCCATTAAGTTGCATTATACTGGTTTACATGAAAAAACCCTATTAAGTTGCATTATACTGGTTTACATGGAAAAATCCCTATTAAGTTGCATTGTACTGGTTTACATGGAAAAATCCCTATTAAGTTGCATTATACTGGTTTACATGAAAAAAACCCTATTAAGTTGCATTATACTCAGGGATATCACCCAGCTCTGGATTTGTGACTAGTCTGTAATCCCTGAAATAACTGTTAGATTACGAATCCGTTGGCGCCAAAGCTCTCACTGAAATGTATTTACTGTGTACATGTTATGAT